TTTGGTCAATCTAGTGTGTGGGCTAGATTATAGATAAGCCTATAGTTTCGATTAACTATATAAGGTTGGACGGAGCTAGGGCTATGCATGGGCAGGGTCAGGTGGGGCAGCCCATTAACCTAATGCCTTGCCTTAAATGTCTTTGGGCAAAAAAACTATGCCCAAAGCCAGATCCTACCCGAAAGATGCTTGACTTTAAAGGGGTCGGGCGGGCAAGGTCGGGCAGGGTCTCCAGCCTGGCCCTATCGAAATAAAAAATCAGAACCATCCATACAAATTTGAAATACACTATAGCAGATCAATTATTTCCATCAATAGATCACTTCAAGCTCTTATTTTAAAAGTAACAGATTGTTAAATATCACTAGCAAAAATATTATGGTGTCATCAAAAAACTCAATGGCAAAGCAAATATGGAAGGAATTTTTCATGCAAGTCACAAGTGCTGTTCAGTTCCAAATTCTAAGAAATATAGAAATATTCAACCTAAGGTTTACAAACTTGATCATCAAGGCACTTCAAAAAAAAAAAGAACTACCATTTATGTCCACATCATGTTAACAAATTACATCCTATATTATTATTTTTATAAAAAAATATATTATATCTCGGGCCGGGCAGGGTCAATTGGTTGGATACGTCAGCCCTAAACCCTGGCCAACCTGAAGATCAGGCTTAACCCGACCATGCCCAAATAGTATTGGGCAATTTTTTTAGGGCTCGGGTTGGGCATATTTTGCTCGGGTCGGGCAGGGTATCTTGAAATTATAGGCATCCTGCACAGGCCTAGACAGAGCAATAAGGAGGATTACAGGTTTTGCATATTATCATGCACTACATATAACTGTTATAAATGATGGCTCACAAATTGTGATGCTCGCAATGGAATAATGAAAATGAAATTATATGATATATTGATCTTGCATGAAATTTTAATTAGTTGCCATGGTGCTGATAAAGGTATTCTTGAACTCACAGAGGCATTAGCCAAAAAGATAAACTGTTGATTGAACTTGGGATGCTAATGATAGTACTTCTTTAATGTTTTTTGTTCTGTCAGGGCAACCCCGTTTTTTTTTTTTTTTGTATCAGTTAAACTTTTTTGCCTCAAACTGATGTATTATCACATTTGCATTAAGGACATTTCTTCACCTTTTGCTCAACTAAACCCAATGCAATTGGAATTAAAGGAACTAAATCTTTAGATGTGTTAGTTCATTGAACTAACTATTGAATTCAAAGGTATATACTTCCATCTCATATGTTGTCATATTTAGGTTCTGGTCAGAGAAGAAGTAAGAAGTTGTGTCCAAGTGAATGGATGTTGACTTTGGTGTTACGATGCACATCTTAATGGAATGCTCTGCCAACAGAGTCAAGTAAAGCAGCATTTTGCCTTTGATCAAATGCAACAATTAATGATTTGATTACATGCCTTCCCCGTTAAGTGTATCTTATATTTTAACTAATTGTTTAGTCAATTCTTTCTTATCTATTGAAGCACAATGTAGCTGTTGATATATATTATATTTTGAAATGATGCTTAACTCTATGAAAGATACTTCTCAAATAACTAATTCCAGGATCCGTAATACTGGTAGTGGAAATTAATAAGTCCTTGAGATTTGTACAAAAACATCACCGAAGTACATTCAAAACATGATAGTGAGTAATTGATCTCAAAGTAAGAAGAGTAACAAATGATAGATGATCTTTAGCAATTATTAAACAGTCTAAAAAATGAAATAATATGATTAAATATTCTATACATAATACAAAGACTACTGAAGCAAAAAATTCCTACAGTATACTTGATCATTTGGAATACTAATCAATCAAAAAATTTCTATTGTTGTCACAATAGTCAATAAGATAGAAATGTTTGAAGGAATATAAATGCTAGATGAATTTTGAACATGTAGAGATTTTATCTAATGCTGAGAGGTAAGTTGCTCACTAATTTTGAACTTACAGAGCTTTTTGGATATTAGTCTCACTCCGGTGTAATCTTGAGACTACTTTAGTATAATGTAACTATTCTGGAATACATCACACAAGAGCATTTCAAACACAAAAATACAGCAATAATTACAGGTTGAGAAGGTATATTAACAAATAAGATTCACAAGATTCCTTCAACTATATATGCAGAGCTTGTGTGATGTATTCTAGAATAGCAACTTACACTATACCTTTATGTGACTTTTGTTGAAAAGTAAGTTGCTCACTAGTGCTGAGAGGCATCGTAAGAAAATGACATCTGGTCAAACTTGCATGCTTTGTACTGTACCAATGGAGAACATTGATCATATTTTCAAGAACTGCAATTTATGTGAGAACTATGCGTACTTGGCTCACAAAGGTTCTGCATGATGACTCTATGGACATTTCTTGGAAGATTTGTGTATGTATTTTGTGCTAGAAATTATGGGATGCAAGAAACGAACGTGTTTTCACAGGGGAATCCTTTACTTCTGACAGCATTCTTAGCCAAGCTAGAGCTTCTACTATTGACCATACCATAACAGCTTTTACACTTTTAATCTTTTGATGTAATTTCCTCATTTTTGCTCTTTGTTCTGTTTGTAGCCGTTTGTATTTTGTACAGTTGATTTAATATATATTCCCTTTCCGCTAAAAAAAAAAAAGTAGTGTCAAGATTTTAAATCAAGACCATAACAATATGCTAAAGTTGACTACCATTAATGTTGTGAACAAAGAAATAATTCAAAACTTGGAATATAGTTTCTTTAGCAGTGTTAATTTTTCACATTTATCTGTAGATCTTGCATTACAAAGGGAAGATGAATTTGGTTTAGCATATTGAACAGTGCAAACAACTTAGTCAACATAAATTTGTTACCATTGAATTTTACGCATTTTGTCACTTTATGCAAATTTGTTATCTCAAATTAATATATATATATATATATATATATTAATACTTCTAAATTCTAATATTAGCTAATCAAATATTACACAATGGACTTCAATACTTATTTTGTTTTGTTATAAGATATATTTTTTAGGGAGAATAACAGTTAGGTTCCAAACTACTGAATCAATACAAGCTAAGTCTTCAATAATTTTTTAAAAAAATAATTTAAAAATATCAATCCAAATTATTAAAAATATAGGAGTTTCAATTGAAAATAAATATTTAAATATCAAATATAAATTTTAGATTGTAGCAAAAATTTTTATTTGAATTGATCTTTATAATTCGTTTTATAGAAAATTTTATCGAGGACCTAATTGTCAATAATTTTTTTTTGGGACCTAACTGTTATTCTTCCTATTTTTTATTCATATACTTCATCCGTTAAAAAATATAAGGCATTTTTAACTGAGTCTCACCTCCAATAAAGTAGTTACCTATTTTTCAACTAACCCTATATTTTTATATTTACCTCCAGTAAACACTCTATAATAAATATAAAGTCATTATCAGTAGAGGTACTTTTGAAAAAAAGGTAATGATTATACCTCGAAAGACTAGAAATGTTTTACATTTTTAAACATTTAACTCCTCAAAAAATGCCTTAAATTTTTCAATGGAGGGAGTAAGCAATAGAAAGAGTATTTTTTTCATTAATGAGGAAATTGCATGTTGGACCAACAAAAAAAGAAAAGAAAATTGCATCACTATTAGTTTTTTTAATATCATTTATTTATTGATAATTTTTTAAAATTTTCTTTATCTTCACATTTAAAGAAGTTCATTTTTTTAGTTCCTTCATATTTATTAGTACTGTAAATGCAATGACATGAGGAGATGCTTACTGTGATCATTATTCTGATTTTCAGTAACATTTATTTGTAAAACTCTCTTAATTAGAGTACAATATAACTGTATGTTTTCCAAGCATCACATGTGGGAGTAAATATTTACAATAGAAAGAGAAATTTTTTTTGTCATATCTATAAATTACGTCATTAAATTTTTATTATAAATTTTCTCCCTTATCCTTCATTGAATATTGAAAAGAAAACAATATATTGTCAAAGTTTGTATGCTTAATAAGAATAAAGTTGATAACCTATTAAATTTTTGGGCAAAGTTAATGTGTTAAAATTTTTTCTTGATTTTGATGAAATATGTTAGATATAACTTATAAATAAAATTAGATGAGTATTTTCTTGAATAATTTTTTTTTGATCACTATGACCATGGAGTTGGCAATCACTTATTTGTGTATAATGATATTCATATTAAATACTTCCCATGCAAGCATGGGGCACGGGAGAGCTAGTGCTAGTGCTATTAATTAAATTTGTAATGCATGTACTGTGTCTTGCTTTTGTTCTAGCAAAAATCGTTTGATTTCAAAGCTTACCCCTCTACTTTAGATTGGGGTTAATTGCTTTTCTTGACTCCGCAAGTAGAACCATGTCATTTATAAAGATTATGCATTGAGGAATTTCCTCTTAAATAAGTTTAGTTAGGAAAAAAGCTCAACTTAAAAATTAAAAAAAAAGTCAATAAGTGTGGATTCTAAAAAAATTAACATGATATGTGAAATAAGTTACACTCATGCTTAATATTATAATATTTTTATTGGAGGAACGTTATATAATATATAATATACTCCTTTAGTCCTTATTGTATTATGTCTTTTAGAAGGAATTTTTTATCTTTATTATAAAACACATGATGACGTATTAATTATGTTTTTTTAAATATTAATCTCATTTACTATAAAAAACATGTAATGTAAATTTTAAAAAAATTATTTAAATATGAATAAAATTAAAATTTTGTTTCATTTTTATATGTAGTTAAATGCGTTTTATGACAGAGACCAAAAAGAGTAGACGATAACATGAAATATGTTAACAATTTTTATCATCAAGAATAATTATTAATTACGTTATAAATTTTTTTTTTTGGGTAATCAAAGTGGGGCCATTGGCTAAAGCCCAAGGCCGCCTTAATAATTTTTTGTTAAAAAAGTAATTCTCCACTTTCCAACGAAATTCCGGCCAAAAAACCTTTCCAACGAAATAAAGGCGCGAAATGGAAGTGAAGTGACAAGGCACTTCTCGTCAGCGCTTTTGGGTTTATGAGGTTTTAGGGTTTCTATAAGGTTCAGCAGCGTTTCCTACAAGCAACTGTTTTAGGGTTTATGAGGTTTTAGGATATTCGCTTGGATTCGAAAACCATGGCTTTCTGGGGTGAGCTGCTTCGATTTTTTTGTTGCTTAACAAATGATTAGGAACTTGAACTCTCCTTAACTCCCAACATTTGCTTATGCCTCAGGAGTGGAAGTAAAACCCGGAAAATCTTTTACTCATAAATTTGATGACTTCAAAGGACGACTACATGTTTCAATGGTAATTTTCTTCAGCCGAACTTCTGATTATCTATGAATAAATTATGGAGACTTTGTTGGTAAACTGTAGCTTTAGATTTTTACTTTTATATCAATGTGGCTCTTCTTCTTCTTCTTCTTCTTCTCATCATTGTAATTTGCTACTTGAAGACAGTTTTTGGTATGGGTTATCCATGTATGGACTGTTAATCAGCTTTCAAATTTTTTTAGGCCACTTTGGGGGTTGGTTCTGCCCCAGCCAAAAGCAGACTCCAGTGTAATGTGGGCAACAGTAGCCCTGTTTATCTATGTTCTCTGTCTTCTGGAACGAATGAGTCATTGCAACTTCATTTGGAATTTGAGGAGGTTGATGATGTCATCTTTTCAGTGATTGGTCCTCGGAGTATTCACTTGTGTGGTTACTATCTTGGTAATAGCCGAAGAACCAATGTGATTGAGGAGTCGTATCCTTCCCTTAATTTTGGTAGAATTTATTTATTGAAGAAAATTAAATAGAAAACTTGAGTAGAGTATTTGATAATGAGGTGCTGAAGTTTTCTGGGATCAACTGATTTTCCTTTGTTCTTTGCTTCCTAATTTCATACTTGACGGCAGTAAGTAGATAAAGCAGCAATGTCATTTCTTTTATTTTTTCTGGTACCACCGATCTTTTAGTTGTGATTTGTTTCATTTCTTAACTTTTATTTGCAATGAAAAGAGAATCCTATGGAGAAGATATTGCAAACACTGAGACAGATAGATCTAATTGCAGCGAAGAAGATGAGTATGAGGATAGTTTTATTGATGATGATGCCAATCCAGACGTCTACCCAGGATCACCTATTTCACGTGAAGGCATGTTTATTATTTTAAGTTCAATCCATTAATGAATTGTCATTATTATTGAGAATGTGCCTATCAATAAATCAATATATTGCATTCAAACAAAACCAATAGTCACTATTCCTTAAGGACTTGTTCGTTTTGTAGGTGATTTTTCTAGTTTTATCTTAGTTACCTACTTAGTTCCATGAATATTTAAGACTTTTGTTGAGTTTTGCTTGTAATGTGCAAGCATTTATGAATGATTTTTTTTTTAAATGATAACTATAAAGTAACTGTCTGTAAAATCTTCTCTCTCATTGGTAAATCATCTAGATATGTAGTTTTATTCATTAATAGGAAACATTAATTATAGTATCTAAAACTGTTTTATAAGCATCTAGCTTATTGTAATGTCTTTTTTACCCCCAAGCATCAAACCAATTTGTTTTAATTTTTCTTATTTTTCCAGTTTTTCCTTTCTCCAACATTTTCTGATGTTTATGAATGATACCCCTTTTAAATATCTTTTTTCTCCCTCATATTCAAGGCTTCTGATTTTGGAAGTTTGTTTGTAAATGCATCTTCATCTATTGGTTGTGAAATTCTCTTGTATTGTCGTTTTTATTGTGATTGCTGCAGAGGAAGTTTCACCTGTTAACAAACATAAAGGTAGTCGCCGCAGACTACAGAGGAAGCAACAAAGAGTAGACTCAGATGATGATGGTGTGCCAATTTCATCTCTTTACAAGACTAAAGCTACTGCAAAGGTCTTGTCTGAGGAAATGGATGTTAGTGATGACAGGAGAGAAAGTGATGGCAGCCAGAAGAAAGGCAAAGATGAAGACAATAATGATATTAAACCAAATTCAAAATCAAAAGCTGGCAACATTCTTCTAGATACCAAGACACATAGGTTAAATTCTAAAATATCAATCACTGTTCAAATACCCATAAATATTCTTCTTAGGTTTGAGGTCTAAGGATACATCTTTATTTGTTCTTCCCTTTGTTTCCACTTTGTTTTAACTGAAGCAGTGGAGCTGAGTCTTTGGACAACGTAGTAGAATGTCACACCAATCTAAATGTGAGGAGTATTCAGAAATTGGAAAAAGAAGAGAGAGAAACAGAAGAGGAGGGTAAATTTGCTGAAGCAAAGGATGCTTGCAATGGCCAATTTATCGAAGTAAATAATGTGTTGGAAGGAGAGCCAAAAATGGACAATATCATCCAGGATCTTCTAATAAGAAATATGAGCGAGGGCCAAGCCTGTGATAAGTGAGTAATCAAGTTTCTTGAGTCCTTGATTCTAAAATTTCCCCATCAATTATATTGTTAAATATCAGAATGGCTATACTGTTCGTCTTTAATATGTCATTGTTCTTGGATCTCAAAGATTAACTTGGAGAACTCCTTATAGTACCTTGCTTTATATTTGGGTTATAATATTTCAAACTTTTGGTTTTAGGGTTCTTGATTGTAGCAATTGGGCTGGACTTTCAAGAATACTAAGGACATTTACTCTTGGAATTTCATCAAGGATGAACAAAGTTGGCTTATTACTGGAATCTTGTGAATAGAAATATGTAATTTTAGATGTTTTTCATTGGCCGTTTAAGTTTAGAATGTGAAATCAGAACATTTTCAAGGATGAAATGGGTTTGTAGGACTATGCTGAAATAAGAAGAGGAGTTCTAGAAAGTGTTATGTGAGAACAGTAAACCATGAAAATAACATCCTACATTGAGGAACATCATGTGAGAAAGTTGTAGACTTGTAGGAGTTACAAGGGTCTTGATCTAGTGTGTGTTTGGTAAGATATCTTGACTCGTGAACCTCCAATAGGGATTTGCAAAATGCCTAGATCCTATTGGTATCCACCAATTTTACCTGTTTTGATTTAGTCATATTTATTTAAATACATATAATATATACACACACATAATATATATATATATATAATATTAATCTGCTTAAAATATATTTTTGAATTTTGGAAGGAAATTTAGGGTAGGATGGAAGTAGGTAGCAAAACAGTTCCATTCCATATGGTTAGTATGCTCCAGCTTGGGGGGCATGTTAGAATATTATTAGCATATGTTTTGTCTTTCCTATTTAAGCTTCATGTTGATTGTATCTTTGTCTAAAGCTATACAATACAACCTTCAGTCTTGTAGATATATATAACTCATGCCTCTAATGGAAACCTTCAACTCAGTTTCATTCATGGAGTAATATTGCTTTTCTTTGAAGTAAGGGCAGAAGAAAACTATCAACCACTGAGCTAAGCTCATAGAAAACAAAAATGCAGGAATAAAATGACACCCTCCACCCTCCTCCCTTTTGTGAGGCAGGTGCTTTCTATGCCACTCCTGTATTATTCCCACCCTGCTTCTTTGTTAGGAACCCTCCACAATGACTCCCTTCTGGCTTTCTTTCAATTATGCACAGAAATACAAAACTGCCTAGTTTGTTAGGCTCTGCACGATTCTTTTGATAGCTTTATTCATAATGAACCACTGATAGGGTGTAGATCTTTGTTAAATTCTGATATGAACTACCTTTTTTTTTTTTTTCCTGGCATGGACTTTCCATAGCCTTTATTTAAAAAAGAAAAAAAAAAGAAATACAAAATTGGTGACTGCCTCATAAGTTTCTACTTTGCCCTTCCCTTGCCACCACTCAACTAATATTCTTAGACCTGAGATTTCTCCTTATGTAAACCCTACCATTTACCCTGAACATTGGCCCTTTTCTTCTTCCTCTCATACACGTGGTCCAATCAAATGCTGGGCCCATCATTTCCCTCCTCAGTAAGGCTAACCCTGTCTTTAAGGTGGAAGTTGCAAAATTTTGTTTTAATAGCTTCAGCATTTTCCCATATGTTGTCACTTCTGGCAGACAACTATTTAAGGGGGACCTGCTGCTGTCTATCAGACACGGTTCTTCCTTTTTAACATATTCTGAAAGTGAATTTGTAATTTACCTCTGAAAATGTGCCTTAAAATAGTGCACTTTCTACCATCTTTCTGCTAGTGGCAAGCAACACAATGTTCACACCCCCTTCTATTGAAACCTCGCAACTTCCATAAAATGTATGCCATTTCGCAAATTTCACATTATATAAAATCAACTTCAGTGCCAAATGCAAATCTTGATAAGAAATCCCACCCTTTCACAAATGTATTTCCACAGTGCCTTTAATAATTTTTTCACCGGAGTCACCCAACATTCTAAACTATATAGCCCATGTTTCTCCATTGAGACTTTCTCAGAATGCAGCATTTATCTTAAGTGAGGTGCAGGTAGGAAAAAAAACAGAAAAAGAAAATAAATGAAGAAAAAAATCTAACCTTGTGACATTTTTACAATTTTTGTTAGAGTTTGAGAGACCTCCTAGACATATCTGTAACTGTAAATACGATGAAAATTGATACATAGAATTTGTAGATTCTGGGCCGACAGATTTGTAGAATTGCATGTGAAGAAATGGGAATTAGAATGCATTGGGGGTTTCAGTTAATAGCTCGCTGAATTACTCTCTTGTTTGTTTGTTTGTTTGGTGGGTTGTGTTATTGGGCTCATTGTTCTTTTTATGTCTCTGGCAGGAATGTTGTATTGCCTGCCACTGTAGTAGGTCCTGTGAAAAGTAGAGGAACAAAGAGGAAGAAGAAAGAACAGGCTCCCAAAGATTCACATTTTGAAGATGACAATGCTTACTGTAAAGAGTCCAAAGCCCCAAGAGACTCAGCAGGGACTGATATTGCTATCCCCAAATTTTCTGAAGGAAAGAATCAAGATTTGCAACAAAACAACAAAGAGTGAGTGCAAGTAAAACAATATATAAAAATGAAAAATAAGATGTAGAGGTAGTTGTAATGTTTATTGTGCAAGGTGCCTAAAACAGTAAAGCTTTCTAAATTCATATAATTTCAATTTGAACAAATTGTTTATATTGTTCTTTCCTTATTTATGGTCCCTGTTTTCAAAAGTGTTTCTGAAAATATGTCTTTATACAAGGTTGAAGGACCATTGATTATTGCTCATGTTTTAGGTGCAGAGTTCAAGTTCCCAACAAAAAGAAGGGTTATTATGTTTTTGTTAGAAATGCTTGTAGGCAGGAAAAATGCCTTAGTTCCTTGACATGGCATTGGTAACACTTGCATTATTAGTTGAAAGTTGCTGGGAACATCTCTCTCCACCATGTCATTCAAGTTGTCTCGAGAGAAGTTCTGATTTGTTGCTTAGTTTGTCATCTTAGACTCTTAGAACTCGATGAACTGTCTTTTCTTGTCTGTGTTTAATGCAATCCGGATTGTCCTTAGATACATAATATTGCCTATTTTATATACGTAACTTAGTTAAAATGTTTTGCACAGGAATGGGGATAATGGAACTCATGACTTCCCTGATGCGAATCAATCTGGTGATAGAAAGATGAAAAAAAGGAGGAAAAAAGACAAAAGTCAGGGGGATGTAGAAGTTAATACTTCTGATATGCCTCAATCATCTGCTAATGAAAATATTAGGACCCTAAAAAAGGATGAATACATTGTGGCTGATGCGAAGTCTTCTGCAGTTAAAACATTGCCAAATGGTTTAGTTATTCAAGAGCTGGAAAAGGGGATAGAAGATGGAAAAATTGCTGCATCAGGGAATAAGGTAGTTGTTTAAATCTCTAAAATAATTTAGAGTCTGCCTTTATGAAATTAATAAGAAGAATAGCAGATTTCGGTTGACAAGTACTCTTTCATTTCAGCTCACTGTCCTTTTCACTGGCAAGGTGAAGGATAATGATGAAGTCTTTGAGTCAAATGTTGGCCATGCACCTTTCAAGTTTCGCCTTGGTACCACAGCCTACATAACCTTTTGTTACCTGAGCATGACTGACTTCATACTTGACTGACTTTATATGTCGTTGCTTGTTCTATCATTTTACAGGTAAAGGACAAGTTTTAGAGGGTTGGGATGTTGGCCTTGAAGGTAAGTTATTCAGAATTTTTGTGAGGCCCTCTTCCATGTTCTGCTTGCTCTTTAATACTATTGAGAATTTGAGATGCTTGCATATGGTTCTCAGGTATGCGAATTGGAGGAAAGAGAAGACTCATAATACCACCATCCATGGGGTATGTTGTTCATTTGGCATCCTTTGGCATGTTACCTCATATTTCTTTTGGATCCCTTGTCCCTATCATATCTGTTTTGTGCATATCAGGTTTGGTAGTGAAGGACACGATGACAAAGTACCGCCAAACTCATGGCTGGTTTATGACTTTGAATTGGTTAAAGTCCGTTGACTGAAGAAGCAAGTGGTATTTGGTCATGGCTGATTTCTTGTTTTGGCTGAACTCAATTTTTGGAGGAAAATCCTGGAGATTCCAACTTACACTTGATGGCTATTCTTTTTGTTGGGATAGCATTAGACAGTTTGATATGTTGTTGTGGAATGTCAGGTTTTGATTGTTTTTTTCCCACTTGAATGCCTATGGGAACAAATGATTGAGTAGCTTGTTGATACCATAAGCAGAAGAGCGGTTGTCCAAAAAAAAAAAAAAGCAGAAGAGCGAGGAGAGAATGAAAGAAAGCTCAACGATGATGGAAATTGAATTGGAAATTTTCTCTGGCCTTATAATCTATATGATCAAATTTTGACATAGCATAGTGTACAGCTAGTCGGGCATCACTATGTTCGGTCTTGAACGGATTATTCACGAGGAATCATCCACAAAGTTACACAGGCCTAGTTTGTTATGTTGGAAAGAATTTTAAAGACATTGGAATATGAAAGAGAACTAAAATTGAAGCCGGGAAAGGCACCGATGCGATTGTAGAGGTTTAGGGCATGTTTGGTATTTTAATTGTTTTTTTTTATTTTTTATCACTTGGTATCCTGAAAAATTTAGGGGTAGACTATTCAAACTCAAATTGTGTAGGATCGTTATTTCTAACAACAGTTTCAAGGGCAACTTAAGGATATTTTTGATATATTTATTTAATATAGTTGTATTTTTTAGAACTTGAGATAAATTAATTTAACTTTTTTGAGCATGAATCATTTGCTCAAAGGGTTTTTATTTGATATGCATATTTGTAAATAACAAATGACCAATGCTAAAATAGAGGGGAATTTCAACTTATTAATCTAACCTAGAGCATCAAGCCACTGTAGATCATCCAAATTATAATTTCTCGTACACTAAATTAGATAAAGTTGAGATAAAGTTGAGAGGTGTATTAAGGTTTTTTTTTTTTTTTCCTTTTTAAATTCGTGATTTCCAGATAGGTAATTATTGAGGTACTGAAGTCGACTTCTACTCCCATAGTTATCATATCCCTAAGTAGTTGTCGTCAATTTTTTTTCTCTTTGAATGAGAAAATATATTCAAAAACTAAAAAGTACAATAGTGATAGGAAGAAGAGACGAAGGGGAATGCCATGTTAGTGTGTAATTGGGTCTCACTGCCTAAAAAATAATTGCCATTTTCTTATATTTAATGTCTGGAGTCACTCGATGTAAATTTAAAAGTAAAAGAAGAAATTTCGTAATACACAAATTTAAGATTAACAATACTATTTGACTTATAGTTTAGGGAATATGTTACTTTTTTACCCTTGTTATTACGTAAAATGAAATTCTTATTCTTATTATAAACCTAGTTATTATTCTCAAATAATATTTCATTATTAATATGTCAAAAAATATTAGTGACAATGTTTTGAAAATGGATGGTCAGATTGGTTGAATTGTCACACCTAGTAAAGAAAGTGATTTGGTTCAAAAACATTTAACTGTTCTAATAGAAGGCCTGGATTAACTCATTATGACCTAGATTAGTTTTGTTTGAAAACTCGGGGTAACCGATATGACTATACCTTTTTGACATGTCTTTTTTCCTTTTACTCTTACTTTAGTAGTGATTTTTTTATTCAATTTAAATATTAATGTCAACTTTCTTCCTATTATTATATAATTTTGAGTGCATTATTTGTTTATGACATTATATTAATGAAAGGATAGAAAAAAATTAAAAACTCATTTTCTTTATTGGTAAATAAAAAGCTATGCAAATGAAAAAGTGAAAAAAATTAAAATTTAATATGTTATGACTAAATAACGATGAACCGATAATATACTATCACTATTTTAAAGTTGTATTGTATGTTATATGTATGAATATTATTTTTATTTAATTATTATGTCATCAATTCAACAACTAGTTTAACTAACTAAATCATGAGAATCGTGACCCGCTAATCTTTTTGGTTCATTATAAAGCTTTAGAGGAGAATCAAGAGGTTATGGGTGGCTTGACATTCGATAATGGTCTTAAGTAACAACATTTTGATAATTGAGCATTAAAATTATTTACATTAAAGGATTTTCTGTTGCAGACAATTTAAGTGATTTTGGGTTGCAGACATTAATTATTTACATTAAAATTCTTTCCATCATAAGAGTTGGATCTAGTAGAATAGAATAGTTTCTTACAACGTGATGAATTAAGGTTCAATTTTTGTTAAGAAAAGTGCTCACATTTAGTTCTTGGCCTTACTTTGAACAGAATTACCTCCAATAGGAGAATACCTACAAACAACAAAAAAAAAATCTTTCCATAGGATTTGTCATTAATTTTTTTAGATGTCATTATCTACCTATCTGCAACCCTACTTTTTATTCTAAAAGTCCAAAGTTATTTGGGTATTAAAATTGTACCCCAACCTACTTTATGGGAAAAGAAACATTCACAAGTTGTTGAGGGCACGCGGTGTTTTCCTCACCATCTACTTATAGAAATGCTGGCTGGCTTGGTTTAAAGAATTTGAAGTATCAAAATAAAACCTTCATATGAAAATTGTTTGGGGTTTGTCACTAACCCAAGAGCTCTTGGGTTCAAGTCCTAAAATCTAATATAAGCATGGCAATGCTGATTTACCCGAGGTGAAAGGAAGAGTGGGTGCTTCAATCACTTGGAGAAGCATCACCAAAGTATGGCAATCCTTTATGGAAGGAATGGGGAAGAAAACTGGTTCAGGGAATCAGACCTTATTTTGGTTTGAAAAATGGTTGCCCATCAACAAACCCCTTATAGACCTAGTAGTACATGGGAGAAAGTATGTTGATGTGAATGAAAAAATCAAAGATTATGTGCTACCCTTTGGAGGTGGGATGTTTATAAGCTGAGACCTTGTTTTTGAATCATGTGGTGGATCTTATTACTAGAACCTTGGCCCCTAATGAGGAGAGTGGGAGGATAAAACACCTTTGGCCTTTTTCTTTCGATGGGTTATATTCTGTGAAACCTGGTTACTCTTTTCTTAATGCAGGTAATGACAAGATCCGTGAACCATTATGGAGAAAACATATGGAGATGGAGAATACCAGAGAAAATGAAGACACTTATATGGCTATTAGTGCATGATAGAGTCCATATGACAGCTTTGAGAGAAAAGAAGAGGATTGATGGTAGAGCAACCCTGTCGATTTGGATGCACTGAGGTGGAGGATATGATGCATCTCTTCCAAGAATGTAGGCATGCTAGGGATGGTGGCAACATTTTGTCAGACCAGACCTATGGGATAGATTCAATAGTTTTAACAGATGGGATTGGCTAAGTTGGAATATGAAGATGGATATAGGTAAACCCTTTACGCATAATTTTCCCTGGGATAATTTATTTGCCTTCATTTGTTCGGTCATATGGAAGGATTAGATGTAGATATGTGTTTCATGGGGATGAGTGATGATGAGGATGATGATTGGGTGAGGGAGGACTCAAACAATACTTTTTTCAAGGTTGTTATATATTTAAATTTGAAATTTCAATTACCGCAATAGGGTAGCATTAGATAGGCTAAATTCCAACAAAGGAGCAATCCTTATGTTGTGAGATTAGAAGTTGATGGTTTTGCAATTCCGGATGGCAATAGTGCTATTGGTGGGGTGTTGTGAGATTCTGATGGAGACTGGATTTTGAGTTTTAATTGTAAAGTGGGACAATTATCACCCACTATTATCAAAGTCTTAGGCATTTTTAAAGGACTTAAAATATATTGGCAGAAGGGATTTATAGTTGTGGAGTTTTTTTTTTTTGTGATTGTGTGAGTGCTATATATTTATAATCACAAGAAACAATCATAATTATCATCCTTTTCAATAAATTATCGACTCCACTAAGAAACTTTTGATCAAAAATTAGGAGGTCCAAATTAATTTTTTGTACAGTGAAAACAATAGGATGGCTAATTTTGTAGTTAAGTCAGCTTTTAGTCTTAGTAATGATTTCCATTTTTATTATCAACCTCCCATTACTTGATTGGGGGTTGTTGTTGTTGTTGTTGTTGTTGTTTTTTTTTGGGCTTTTCGTTTTGTTGTTTATTAGGCTCTGTTTTTCCTAGATTGTTCTTCTGTACACTTTTTTTTTTGAATGAAGGTCTCCAGTATTACTGAAAAAAAAAAAGGCGCAACGTTTAGCTCCAAACTAATTTTTCATAAGCACTTTCTAATAGTTACGGAATGTGGGTTTGGTAAAACCAACAATGGGGAGCTTTTCGAATACATCCAAATTGACTTAAAAAAAGAAAAACATATATCCAAACACAATGTTTGTTGCCAATAATTTTCACTAAATTGATTTTTCCCTTATCCTACGGTAGTCTTTTCTCACCTCTCTTTTGTTCAAACACAACTATAACTCCTCGAGATTAGGAACTTTTAATGTATCTTTTTTAATACCTTTTGTAATGCTTTGACTTTTTAATATATTTTTTTTCTTTGGAACATTGGATTATACATAAAATAAAAAACATTTTGGCATCTTAAAATTTTGAAATGGTGAAATTTTATTTTTTTAAATGATTATTTAAAGAAAAAAATATCACAATCACATCCTTTTATTTTTAAAAAATTGTAAAAAAAATATAAAATTTTACCATTTCAGAATTATAAGATATTGAAATGTCTTTTTTTTATGTGAAAATCAATGATTAAAAAAATAAAATAAAATTATGAAGTTGGGGCATATAAGAGACATTTAAAAAAAGAAAAGTTAAAAACCCCTAACCCAACTCCTGACTCTCTCTCTTCTCTTTCTTCTTCGTGGGCATTCCATATGCCTCTCTTCTCCTTTATCTGGTGACATATCGTACTTCACACCTCTGTATTTGTTGTTGGTAGTGGCAAGTTTGGTGATGGGGTGGCAAGTTTGGTGATGGGGTGGCAAAGATTTTTATAATTCTTATTATCCGAAACTATAGCTTAGCTTGTTCACGCTAATGCATGTATCACAAAACACTATGCTTGATCATTAGAGGAGATCATCAATTGTGATGAAGTTTTTTTTTTTTTTCCTTTTTTTTTTTTGGGGAGCTTATTTATAAGTGCATCTTCCTGCATACAGGAATAGAAGTTTTTCCTGATTTTTTCGATAAACATGAATAATTTGAAACATGTCGCATCGTGAATTAATTATTCTTATTATTTAACATATCAATTTTATTTAAAATCTTTATCACATGTATTTTCTAAATATTTTTAATATGAAGAATTTTAATGTAAGTATTTTTAATCCTTGTCTTTTTCAATAATTATACACTCGAAAACACTTTATTATATATATATATATATATTTAATTCAAATAAATTCTAGTTTATTAAAATGACTTAAAAAAAATAATTGAATAAATTTTTTTTTTCATAATAACATATTTACTAAATTGGTTTTTGCTAAATAAACTTTTAATAAATTGACTTATATCTTGGAATCAGATGTCTGGACAGGGAAAAGGGGCACATGATTGATTTGTGATAATGATGTAAAAGATGTGTTAAAATCAAGCATGCAAACGAACTATTTATTGTTAAGATTCTCTGTCTGGGTATGTCCATGGCTATGGTAAAGATGTTTAAATTTTCAATTGCAATCAATTACCTTTTTATGTTCATTTATTATATCCGCTTTTTAACAAAGGATTTGAAGATTCTTTTTTCCTTTTGGTTACAGATTTGATGATCCCTTAAAAGAATATGTTTAGGTGATGACAAGTATGTTCAGTGTACGCCAACCTTAAAATGTATGCATTGCATGCAAGAGGTAACTGAGTTTATCCCTTTGATTAATTATGCTTTGTGCCTTGTTTCACATTTACCTAATTTTGTAAACTTTCCAAATCCTTTAATGAACTCTTACGAGACATTAAATTTTGCAGTATCCTGAATAGTAATTTGATGCCAATGATTCAACAAAAGTGAACCACATCCAAACTCTGAGAGGCCTTACGACCTGCTCAGAAACCATCGATAGGCATCTCCAATTACTAACCAAAAGATATGGATAATGCTAAAGCTATTTAATTTTTTGAAGAAAGATGACTTGTGCAATGTGGGAATCAAATATAATTACATTTTGAATTGGTAGATAACATCTCTCATCGTGGGTCTCATGTCTGGGTCCTCCTCAGTGCATCTCAGAGCTACCAAAAGCACATTGATGACTCGTTTAAGAACGTTTGGATCCGAAACCTCCTCTACAAGGCTTGAATCAATAATTTTATAAATTCCTCTTGCTTCCTGCCATAGACTTCTGACCCAACTCACTATCTCAATTCCCTCCTTAAATGATGGATCCACAGCCTTCTTTCTAGTTATCAACTCAAACAAAACTACCCCAAAACTGTAGACATCAGACTCCCTAGTATTTGCTGTTGTATATGTATTCTCTGTCACAGGCCAATGGAAACATGATGTTTCATATCAGAATTTGGAAAAATAAAGATAAGATTCACAATAAGAGTAAGAGAAGTACCTGGAACAGATGAAGATGATCTCGAAGAAGAAGATACATCCAAAAGCTTGGCAATGCCAAAATCAGCAATATGAGGCTCCATGTCATAATCTAAAAGTATATTTTTTGGTTTGATGGCACGGTGCAGAATGGCAGGATGACAGTCATAATGGAGATAAGCCAATCCATGAGCAATTCCAGCAGCTATCCTATAACGAACAGTCCAACCTAGCAATGATGGTGGATTCTTTTCATGCAAAACATCATGAAGGTTTCCATTTGTCATGTAACTGTATAAAAGCATACCACAGTTCTCTCTGAACAAAAAGTCTAGTAATCCAACAAGATTTCGGTGCCTAATGTTCATCAGGATTTTTATCTCTCTAACTATGCTTTGGATCTTTCCTTTGTTCCCTGCAAATGCAAGCTTCTTTACAGCATAAACTAGGTCTGGACCTAGTGAAACTTTATAAACAACTCCATGAGTTCCTCTGCCAATAACATTCAGATTGTTTGGGTTTGCAGTAGCCTCCATCGCTTCGTGAAGTATTGAGGAATAATGTCTACTGGCAGGGATCTTGGCTTCCTCCTTAGAGATTGAAATAGTTACATAAAAAAAACTAATAAAATAAAAAGTAAGAATGATAGCAACTCAAAATTTAAGGGATGCTTAGTGAAGAAGATGAACAAGAAAGAAAACACTCAGTAATTGTTTTTTACATTAACGGGAAAAGCTATTGCCAAAATTACTATCGATCTGCGTGCAACTCTCTCTCTCTCTCTCTCTCTCTCTACACACACAGACATAGATTGTGGTCACAACAATAGGGAAAAATCTAGAAGAGGAAAATGGACAACAACCACCACAGGTTTACTTGACCTCACATTTCATGCCAGGCTTTTAACCATTTTTATCTTGCAAGGGATTATCATCTTGAGTTTTTGCTCTGTCATAGGACTTGCCTTCTTTGGTACACCTATATGCTATAAACAGTAATGCTTGTTTTGAAAAATTCTTTTCGACATAATCCTCCCACATTGAAACCCTACTTATCCGAAGAGAAAGTACATGTTAGACTTTTTGCTTTCATCTGCAAGCTGAGAAATTTAGACAGATAATGTTTACTTATGTTTTTCTGAGCACTTTTTTAACAAATACTAAAAAGTAGAACCAAAAAAGAAATATTTTAAAAATTAACTACTTTGATGGCAATCTCTCCTGCTAAATCAAATTACCTGAAAAAACAAAGAGGCTACAGCAGTAGCAAGAGAACTCCCCAAATGAAATTCTCCATAACGTCGAACAAAAATTCCTGCATAAATTAGACACTATTAGGAAGAGAGATATTCGAAATATGGAAGAGGTAATGCTATCTTGCATTTCTGATAGGAATGTAATACATCTTTCTATAGTAGTCAGTATACAGGAGAGAATGAAAGAGAGGAAACACATCTACAATCTGCCCCTAATCTCAACGGAATCAAACTGATGTTAATTTATACTAGTGACGAATATTCACAGAATATAGTCTATTATTCTTCAGCAGACAAACAGTCCTCACAGCCCTTTTGACATCATTTCAAAGAAAAGGGAGTCAAGATTCATAATTAGTTCAGCTCAAAAAAAAAAAAATTAATGTGTAATGAAGCATGATTACTTTTGTTATTTGCTTAAAAAACTGCCAAGCTGTGTCATGTAATGAAATTAAATATTTGTATAAGATGTCATGTCATTTAAGCTATACATCTTCGTTACTACAATCTGGAACAATATGAAAAAATACACTCTAACTATCCTGTATTAGAATTTAATACTTTCTATTGTAAGTATGACTTCATGGATGTTAGTAACACTTATCATTGTCAAGAGGACACAGCTCTTACCAGGATCTATGGATGTTTCAAAGAATTCCACTACATCTCTCATTTTTAGTCTCTTTCCTGGATCTGTCTCAATACATATCAAAGCCACCAAAATCACTTTGATAACCTGCACCATTACTTTTAAATCTGAAAGCTCCCTTGCAATGCTTGAATCTACAATCTCTTCAAGTTCTCTTGTTGTCCTCCATATAGATTTAAACCATCCTACTAATGTGGTTTCCTCCACCTCAAATGAGGAATCCAATACTTTCTTTCTAGTTATCAGCTCTAGCAAAACTACACCATAACTATATATATCAAGCTCACAGCTCGGCACTACCATGCATGCAATCTCTGCCATAAGATATGTAAACATGTTAAATTGTATACTTTTGATCTAGTTTCATTTGTTTCATGGGATTGAATGGATAGTAAATATTCCCCTCAACTATCGACATGCTTGCCTTTATAGGCTTAATCTATTACAGTTTTATTAAACATGTTAGAAATAGAAAAAGAAAATTAATCAACGAGTGTAGAACAAGAGCAATTACCCGGTGCCATAAACCCAAGAGTACCTAGATGATATGTCGACCGCATATGAACTGTAGTAGAGGATTGATTTAAAGCAATGGAAATACCAAAATCGGTAATACAAGGTTGCATATCAGAATCAAGGAGTATATTTTTCGGTTTGATATCTCGATGCAATACTGGAGGATCACAGTTGTGGTGAAGATAAGCCAGTCCTTTTGCAATTCCAATAGCAATTTTATAGCGGACATTCCATTCTAAGTATGGTAGTGGATCGTTTTCATGTAAGACATCATGAAGGCTTCCATTTTCCATGTACTTGCTAATGGTTAGACCATATTCCTCACCTATCCAGGAGCCTAGGCATCTTGCCACATTTTGATGCCTAATCTTCCTAGTCATTTCAATTTCTCTGACCATGTTTACTTTCCTCCTATTGCTTTGTCCAAATTTAACTTTCTTAATAGCAAAAACTCCAATATCAAGCTCGGCTTTATAAACAATTCCATGCCCTCCTTCGCCAATTATATATTGATCACTTAGATTCTCCGTAGCATTCATTAAATCAATAATTCTGAAATCTCCTTCATCATTTGAATATGAAGCCTCCTGTTCTTTGTAATCAGCAACGTTGTCTTTCAGGTTAGAAATTGGACGCAACTGGCGGATGTAAATTTGCTCATCAGGATAAGCAGGTACCTCCTTCTTAGATCTTTGGCTAGAATGACGGTCATAAATTACTAGTATTCCTGACAAACAAATGACAAACCCTACAAACCCAAGTGCCATAAATAAAATTGAACGTTTACTGCCCTTGTGGTTAGTTGATTCAGAGTCACATGGCTTCAAGAGGTTATAATTTATGCAACTGGAGAGATTTAATCTCGAACAACGGACACAAAGGCCAGGATTGCCCAAGAATGATGATGAAGACAAATTCAGGCGTTGCATTTTCCATTCTGGTACAGGACCAACAAATGAGTTGTATGATATATTGACTTCTCTTAATGAAGAAAGTTTATCAAGAACATGTAAGCTTCCTGTCAAATTATTCAAGGATATATCCAAACTCTGCAACTTTTGCAACTTACCAATTTCTAAAGGAATTTCACCAGTTAATTTATTAGCACTCAGATTCAACTCATATAAAAGATTCTGCAATGATCCCATTGATGTAGGAATTTTTCCTCCAAACATATTTCCACCAAGTTGTAGCTCGAGAAGCTGGTCATATTCTGATAGGAAAGTTGGGATGTCCCTGCTAAAGCGATTCTCTCTTAAAATTAATTTAGTCAGCCCTGTCCAACTCCTCATGCTTGATGGGAATGAACCGTTCAGAAAATTGAACCCCACATCAAATGTTTCCATTTTGGTACAGTATGACAGCTGATGTGGCAAAGGACCTTCTAGGCTGTTGTGAGCAAGGTTCAAAACCTGAAGGTTCACAAGGTTTCCTAGCTTTGAGGGTATAAACCCAGTAATATTGTTTGTGGACATAATTAAAGCAGTGAGATTTGTGCAGTTCCCCAAACTTGATGGAATGGTTCCATTGATGTTGTTCCTGCTGATGTCCAAGTATCCGAGATTCTGATTGCCTTCAAATTCAGGAAAAGGCCCAGAAAGATTATTTTTGTTGAGAACCAACCTCCCAAGAGTTGCACATCTTCCCAGATCATGAGGTATGCTCCCTTGAAGTTGATTAAGACCTAAATTCAGTAGGTGTAATTGCTTTCCAAAACAAAGATTTGGTGGTATGTTACCAGTGAACTTATTATTCATCAAGTCCAACTTCACTAGACTGCTATTGATTCCCAAGTTTTGAGGAATTGAACCAGAAAATTGGTTGTCAAACAATGAAATATTTTTCAGATGCTTGAGCTCTGTCATCTCCGAAGGTAATTTCCCAAACAGACTATTATTGTGAAGAAGGATATGCTCAAGACTTTGAATTTTCCAAATGGTAAGTGGAATTTCACCTGTCAAGTGGTTGGAGTAAAGTTCAAGGTCCTCTAATTTACTCAATCCTCCCAATTCTTGTGGAATTGTCCCCACCAATTGATTGGAATATAAATGTAACTTCTTCAAAGATTTGCAGTTGCCAATTTCTGGAGGTATATTTCCAGACAAGCGGTTATCAGGAAGGCGAAGAATCAAAAGCTTTTGTAATAACCCCAGGGATGATGGAATGCTTCCAACTAGGTTGCTCTTCACCGCAGCAAATTCTGCTAAACTGCTGCAATTCCCCAAGCCTGAGGGAATGCCTCCACTAAATACATTGAATGACAGATCCAAAATAAATAGCTTGCCCCAACTTCCAAAGCCAAGAGGGATTATACCTCCAAGGCTATTATTTTTTACATCTAAATAAATAAGATTATTGAGATTGTTAAGGCTCTGAGGCAAAATTCCTGTCAACATGTTATCGTTCACAAATAATGCCTCTAGCTTACTGCAGTTAACAATGGAAGAAGGAACTGTCCCTGACAACTGATTCCTAGATAGATACAACTTCAACAGTTTCGTCATGTTTCCAATATTGGATGGGATTGACCCACTTAAACTGTTTTTGTGCAGGTCAACCACCTCCAGTCTGGGAACTTGAAACAAGTAATCAGGAATTTGACCTGTAAGCATATTAGAAGAAAAACTCAAATACCTCAAGTTTTGCAACTTTTGCAAGGTTTCTGGCATATTTCCATCAAAGTAGTTATCAGAAAGATCTATATACTCCAGCATACTACAGTTGCCCAACTCTAGCGGTATTGTTCCTGAGAAACCATTTGTCTCCAACACAAGGTTCTGCAAGTGAGTCAACTGTCCAATTTCTGGTCCAAGTTGACCAAAAATCCCAGATTTAGTGAGATTTAGGAAGATCACATTGCCGTAATGATCACATTGTATTCCTATCCAAGAACAAGGGGTAGAATCAGATGAATTCCAGTTTGACTTTAAGGAAGGAAGCACAGAAATCCAATGTTTGGCAAGAGACAACAAAGTCAACCCATCTGAACTTAAGGCAGAGGCCGAGTGTAAAGGAGCAGACAAGCATATGATCAATAACTGGAGTATTATCATAGGGAACAATAAGTTCTCACCTTACTGCAGCTTAGAACAAGTGCAAGCAATTTAAGAGGTTTGGGTTTCGTACAGCCCACAGGTATTTGCACATTTCTAAAGGAGAAATTGATGCAATGTGATGGAGAGAATGTTTCAGTGTGAAAACGTTGCTATGTTCAACGATGCTTGCCATTATAGCTTACAATTAGAATATATAAAACCTGTTTCTTGGAACCACAGTGGGGAAAATTGATAGAACCAGATCTCAAAAAGTTTAGAATAAAAAAGGCACGCAAGTTGAGTGCTACAAGAGTGACAACAGAGTGGAGCCATTAGAGCCCAAAGCCAAAGCTAAAGGTTGATTAGAAAAGGTTTCATAGAGAGAACCAAGAAGGGTTAAAGGTTGATTAAAAATATGCATTCAGAGGACCAAGAAGAGCTTACCTTGCCCTAGGATAAAGCTGTATGAGGTGGAAGGTGGGGTGGAGACACAGTTGACCGGTAGAAAGCTCCTAGACAAGACCGGTTTGAGTGGTCATCGCATAACATCCGGATAATCCAGGCGGTTTAAATTAAAAAAATTTATTTTATTGTTTACTTTATAATTATTAAAATAAAAATTATAAAAAAATAATAGATCTATTTTATTGCCAATTTAAACAACATAAATTTAATTTTATGATTTAATTTAATATTAAAATTTTTTAAACTTTATATAAATTAATTATTCAGAAATATTTCGAACAGTTTAATTCTAAAATTTTTATTTGAAAACTTTTTTTCTCATTTTTTTAAAGTGTAAGTTTAGATATTATCTTTATTTTAAATATTAATATTACTGAAATAAAAATTTTAAAAATTTTAATGTTAAATTGAAACTGGACAATAAATTTGTAAAAAGTTATAAAATTTTTATTATTAAATTAGATAGTTGTTTTTTGTATCAAAATTAAATATTTAACTGTTTAAATTATATTTTTATATTGGTAAGTAGATTTATTAAAATTTTTATAATTTTTATTTTAATAAATATTAAATAAAAAATAAAATAAAATGTGTGGATGGTTCACCCAAGCCAATTCAAAGTAGACTTTGCTCCTCCTCCCTTGCTCCTCTCTTAATCCTTGAGCTAATCTACACTGTCCAGATTTAATCCTTTTTTATTTTTATTTTATATTTATTAAAATAAAATACTTATAAAAAAATTATAAAAAAATATATTGTAATAAATCTGATCACCAATCTAAACAATCTAAATTTTTGTAAACAAAAAAGGTCAATTTATAAAAATTTTAAAAAATTATAATATTAAATTAGACTGATTAATTTAAATCAATATATTGTCCAAACTAACAATAAACATATTTATTAAATTATTTTATAAATATTTATTTTTATAATATAAATTTAGATTGTCAAGTTGGTGATCAAATTTATTACAATATATTTTTTATAATTTTTATAAATATTTTATTTTAATATTTTAAAAATAAAATAAAAAAAATAAATTTAAATTATTTAAATTAATTTGGACCAAATTTACTCCCGGGTGCAGAGGAGCGAGGGAGGAGCGAAATCGTAGGCGAACAAAGCCGACTCCAACCAGCTCCGCTTCTAGATCGTTGTGGATTAAATAAATATCATTTTCAATGTTTCAATCATTGTGCTGCTGTTCCTTTCGTATCTTTCTCCCTCTTTCTTTGCTTTTGCCTCCCTTTGGCCCTTTTGCATTCCGAGTCCCAATTTAAAATTTAAATAATGAAAAACTTAACATTGCATACCTATAATTTTGATTTGATTAAAAATTAGTTATTGAATTTTAATTTAATATAACTTAACTCTTATAATTTTAATTTCATTGAAACTCTCTAAATTTTAATTTAATACAATTCAGTTTATATAATTTTTATTATTTAAAATATTGATCCTTGTATTTTAGAATATAAAGTTATAAAAAATAAAGTATTTCTTCAAACATATAGATTAATATTTGAAAAAATTACATATAAATTTTGTGAAGTCAACTTATTTACTAATAAGTCCCATAAAATTCAAAAATCACGACTATGTAATTTAAAATTAGGCTGAAAAGATAATAATATTCTTGTTAAATATATATTACATCAATCAAATAATTAATTCATAACTAATTCATTAAAAATTTATAATTATAATTATAATTTTTTACAGCTATAACTTTACATATTCAATAATTAAACAATCATTTATTATTAACAAAGTTTAATATTAATTATTTATAATTACTTTATCAATAATTTACAACTATAATTTCAACTCTTTACAACTACAACTTCATATATTTAATAGTTAAATTGATCAGTTTAATTATTAAATATATAAAATTATAATTGTAAACAGTTAAAATTATAGTTGTAAAATATTAATAAAGTAGTTGTAAATTATTTGACTGATATAATGTATATATATTTAATTATTATTATTATTTATTTTAATTTTAAATTACACTTAGGTCTTTTGGGATCTAATTATTTTTTTCAAATTTTGTCAGACTTTTTTGTAAATAAATTTACTTCATAGGATCTATATGTAATTTTTTTTAATGTTTTATATGGCTACAACTATAACAATTGAGTTGTATTTTGTCAGACTGAATTAAAAGTTAATAGATTAAGTTACAAATAAATGAAAGGTATGAACTAAATAATTAATTTTTTTTAAAATAAAAAGTTGCCTCAATCTTTGTGATTTGGGACTTTTTAATTAGTTATAATAACATTTCTAGGACATGAAATTGAAAGATTCTTACACTTGCATGGTACTGACATATTTTCTAAATTTTTTCTGTTTGCCCTATATTCTGAAACTTGGGTACAAGAACCAACGTTGTACTATGTCGACCAAATTTTGGGGCCTTTGGCAAAATTTTTGAAAAAACATAATGCAATGTAACTTGTAAAATTTTCATTGTTTTTGGGCCAAAATTATATTTCACTCTTAGATAAAATACTTAATTTATGAAATAGATTTTTTTATACATAATTTATTTTATATAGGATTTGAGAAATTTTTTCATCACGAGAATTTAAGCAATTTTAAAATTTATACTTTTTTTTGCATCTATTTTAGTTATTATAAGTTACACTCTAAATCCATTTCGATGGCTTTTCTTTTTTAATATAAATCAAATGCAAAGTCATTAGATGAATAGATGCCCACGACTTTTTTTTTTTTTTTGGCCAACAGATGCCAATGACTTTTTAAATATAAACAAAAAGGCTTTCACAAATTATGTATAGCAATATCTACAACTACTCTCTTTCTCTTTCACAAGCACACGACGCATGACACATTTAGATTGTAGAATCTTACTAATGAAATTAATGGCAAATGATATTTATTCCTAATAAAAATTTAAAATTATGGATCTCATAAGTTCCCAAAAGAGTAGTAAAAAGAGTGTTTTATTTTAACTAAAAAATATTTTATTTTTGTGCTATTAAAATAATAAAACAATAAATTTATTGTACAACGATAGGAACAACATAATAAACAAAAAATAATTCTCCTGCTACCAAAAGAGATTAATAGAACATTTTAAACAAACAACGACACAAGATGTTGGGAAAATGACATAACAATTTTTCAAAAATATGTACATGACAATTAGGTCCTTTGAAATGCCATAATTATTCTTAAATTCCTAGAGACCTTTATGATATTCATGATTTTGATGAAATAACTAAAATATCCTCATTCTAAAATAAAAAAGAAATAGCTTTAATCCCAAAAAAGTAAATATTAATGACTACTTTTCTTTTGACAATAATTAAAATATAACAAGTAATTATAACTTTTCTTGCGCAAATTTTTTATTAAGGAAAGTTATAATTACTTGTTTCATTTTAATCATTGTCAGAAAAAAATAGTAATTATTAAACTAAAGTAATCACTAATATTTACAACACTTAGACTCCAATGAATAAAAAATTTTCAAGGAAAAGTTATAATTGCATATTTTGTTTAGTCATTGCTAAAAAAAAAAGTAATCATTGCTTAAACTAAAATAGTTATAGATATTTGTAATACTTGGACTTCAATTATTAAAAAATTATACAAAGAAATTAGTAATTGCTTGTTCCGTTTTAGTTATTGGCAAAAGAAAAATAATCATGCTTTTAACTAAAGTGGTTGTTGATATTTTCTTTTTTATTTCAAACTGGGGTTACTTTAGTAATTGCACCAAAAATTATTAATGTTAAAAAGATCCATAAGAACTTAAAAAAAAATATGACATTCTACAAGATCTTATTGTCATTTGCATATTTTAAAAGGATTTTTTTTTGTCATTTTTCTTAAGATTTTTTTTTAACCCAAAAGGCATATATAAGACCTTAAAGTTGTCATCATCAAAACAAAAGGGAGTATAGTCATAATAAACAAAACTGAGTTAATAATTTACAACCTTAGTTGAACAAAGATGGTCCCTCTTAATGTTATGCAGTAATACTGCGGGAGCATGAACAACAGATTATATCTCCTTCAAGCTACAGGCACCGATAGGTCATGGTGGGTTAGCGTCTCGTACCTTTCTTTTCCCAAATGGTTCAAAACAATCCATACCATAAAAGCAAATTATCAACATATTTTACACATCCAATTAATTTAAGATTCAATTTATATTTCAAAACTTAAACGATTTATTTAAGAAAACATAAAGGATTAAATTAATAAAAATTAAACTTAAGGAATTATATTGATAATTGAAATAAAGTTAAAGGATTAAAAGTTTCATCATTTTAATTTACACAAGCAACATGGTCTTACTAATCCTAGTGCATACGTGGATCAACTGAGCACTAAGGAGTTGAAACTTGGAAACTTTTTACATCTTTTCCTTGGGATTGCTATCTCACTAATGTTTTGATAACATCTCTCATAGTTGTTCTCATGTGTGGATTCTCCTCAGTGCATCTTAGAGCCATGGAAAGCACTTTTGTGACTTGTTGGAGTACTTGGAATCTAAATTCAAAATCTCCTTTGCAAGGCTTGAATTAACGATTTTACAAATGTCTCCTATCTCCCTCCACAGACTTTTGACCCAAACCCCTATCTCAAATCCACACATCAATGATGGATCTATTGCTTTCTGGTTATCAATTGAAGCAACACTACCCCATAACTATACACATCAGACTCCCTGATAATTGTTGTTGTATGTGTATTTTCTATTCCAGGCCAATTGAAAGATGTTATGCATCACTTGGTAAGTAGAAAAGTATTTTCTTGAAAAGAAAAGAGAAATACATTTATCTTATTTTCTTTCTAGATGCATTTCACTTTTCCTTTCTAGAGAACACTTTTCCGTCATTTCATGTACCAAACATGCACTTGTTTTATGTGAGCATTTGAAAATAGAAAAGAAAGAGAAGATCACAATAAGAG